CACTCTCTGAGACCTGAAATGAAAGAATGGAGAAAATATCTGAAAGTGAGTGTGTAGAGCAGTCTGAGCTTTGGGCTCACAGGGATGATTTATCCTCACATTTAACTATTCTTCATATCTATTACTGTAGATATGAAACATGGCTTACATACCTTGTAATATGAAGGCAACCATTGTCATAATTTGGTGTTATATAAATAAAACTGAATATGAGCATCCTCCTTATATCAGTATCTATGCGACAGAAAATAAGGAAATGCATAATAGATCCCTTTACAATTCATAGACTTTTCATTTTACCCTTGAATAAATGTTAAAGTGCATTCAAGCTTCAACTTGAGAGCCATCCGACGTGAGACATTTTATTTGTATCAAGCCATCATCATTTTTAATGAAATTTGACCCAGTTTGTGACTCTGCCCTTCTGCAGATTAAAAAGTACAATCTTTCATTGTGAACAGTAAAAGCAATATCCAAATCACCCAGCTGTCTGCAATACATTCAATAAAATGAGACATTATTGCCAAGAATCACAAGAAGGCCAAGCAGGACTCCTGAGTTCAAAGCGCTCTGTGAGATCACTGCCATACGGGAAGCGAGCGGTGAGGTGAGCCTTACTCATCACTAGGCGTGTCACTAGCTGTACAGCATCAATATGATTAGACACACAGACGGGGGGAGGGGAGAGGCAAGAGGGAAGGGGGTGGAAATAGGGGAAAGTGAGGCAGAGAGATGACCTAATACCCGTAAAAAGAAATGAAGTCATACTAACCTGACTCATATTCCCAGCTGACACCAGCTCTCCCAATCACAGCATCCCCAGTGTGTTCGTTGACAGAGGTGTGTATGTGTGTGCCGGTCAACAGCTTCATTATGCATGTAAGCTTTTCACAGCAGGTGAGATGACTGTACAATACTTTTGTGATTGATTTGCACTTTTGTGATTGCAGATAGAAATAAAGTCTGCTGTGTACACGGGAAGGCTGAAACACTCGTTGGGTTCTGGACAATTTGTTGGACAAAACAAACACTTTTAGTGAAGCTGTGGAAGGCTAAATGATTAACTGGTAATAAAAATAACTGACATATGAATCAATAATAATTTTGTTGGCTACTTGTGTGTCACACTGCTCGCTGAACAAATCCCAGAGCACTGCAAAAAATAAAAAGTAGCACAAAAGAACAAATAAAAACTGCCATTTTAACTTGATCCCATTTAAATGAGACTGATTTCAAGTTCAAGTCCTGAGCAGCAACCACACAATTTTACAGCTAAATTACCACAAACATCCAAAGATGCATCACAGACTCATTTTTTAAGTGGGAGGGTCATAATATTATTTTATTCTAAATAAATTAAAGAAACTAAATAAACCAATATTTATGAACACAAAGCTACTTTTTGTAGTTACCCTCTACAAAATGTTCTATTTCTTACCACCAGGTGGCAGCGTGTTAGTAGCAGGTGCCTTCAGAAGTCTGTCTGCGTGCTGCTGTTTAATTGTTGACGTTTCCTTTTAGCTGCCCCAATTTCATCAACATGCTTTTTCTTTTCCCAGGTGTTAAAAAAAATAATGTGCTCTTTATGACTGTTTCTGTTTTTAAAAAAAAGTTTAAACTGACTCACTGCGCCATCTTTTGGTACAAAGTGGTGTTGCAGCAGTAACGCAGATATTTCTGAGGTCGCAGCTGTCGCCTCTGTAAATCGGTTTAGTCAATTTTGAAAGGTTTTAAACTATTTCTCTATACGGGAATTTTACAGTAATTATCTTCAAAGAACTCAAGCCTCCTCAGAGTTGTTTTGGTTGTCTTGGTTTGTTTGGATTTATTGGACATCAGTATTTCAATGCTACACGTACAGAACTGCTGCAGAATTGCCTGCTCTCAAAAAAACACAAAAAAACCACACAAATTAGCAGACGCGTAAAGAAAACTTACAAAAAAAAAGAATAAAGCAGGGAAGAGTAGCCTCTACATTTAGCATGTTATTTATTCAGCTGATCGTCTTCAGGGCTCTCGTTGGCTTATGAACACAAGATGTGGTATCATTTGCATGAGGTCTTACATCATCCCAGAGTGCCCGTTCACTGTGGCATCAGCACGTGGTGCTTAGCCAACATGTCCCTTTGTGCTCGCAGAAGCCTCATTCAAGTGACAGCGGGGCACCAGAAAAGTCTTGAAAAGGACATCTGGCCATGGAAGTCAAAGGGATGTCCTTTAGGGATTCTCGGACATGTCTTTACAGCCTTTTAAGCTCGTCCTCCGAGAGAGACAGATACTGTCCATAGGTGAAAGCAATATTTGCATGAGCTCTTGGACAAAGAGATGGGTGTGCAGCACACAAAACCACAGCATCTCCCCAAACATGCCAGTCAGCCTTTCATTAAGCACAGGGAGGAAAAAAGGAAAAAGGAGAAACAGCATTACTGTGACGAACAGATGGTCAAAATCACTGAGTTTTTTTATGTGCAAGTAACATGACCTCAGCACTCTGGGTTTCACAAGTATCCTGTAGCAAATGCACACACACACACGCAAGCACAAAAGGACAAATGACAATTGTAGCCTACAGCTGAAAGATGTGAATGAAATCTCGACCTGCTGCGGTCCATTCACAGCCAGAGAAGATTTCGTTTAGGGTCATAAAGATTATGTGATACAACAGCATCACCAGTGGGCAACACCCAGACTCACACATTCAGGCAGAGACGGGTGTGTGGATGTTGGGGGGGGGGAAACACTATCCCAGATCCATGCTTTTTATTGATTGGGGCTCTGGACTCCCAGCAGACCCCTTTTAATGGAGCCAGACGACCTCCTGGACGCTCATTGAAAGGCTGGTCCTCGTGTGGGTGCTTTTCTCCATCACAGCCTCGTTCTCACCCAATCCTCAGCGTTCTCCAAAGGGTGGGGATTGGGAGCAGACCCCCTGGGCCTACACTGTGGTCCTTCATAGATCACGCCATCATGCTCTCCTCCTCCTGCTGGTGCTGTTTTTTTTGTTGTTTTTTCCCCTTTTCTCTAACCACGTCGTTGGCTGGAGTGGGGGATGTTTTAATCCTGGCCTCATACCAGGAGTTGTCCTGTGAGTTCTCATCTGCAACACGTCCTTAGGGAACAAACCCCTTCCTGATTGGCACCCAGAGAGCGCGTCTAGACTATGATTACACATGTAAATACACCTGCCGTATCAGTGTGACAGAGTCTTATCACGACACAGATATTGTTTCTATTCTCAGACCTGTTGTTTGGATATTTGTGATTATATTATTGCTCTGTTCTACGTGTTATTAAAAGGCAGAAGGCATTCTCACTAGAGATGCAAAAATATTCATGCTGAAGAGTCACATGCCATGCTCAGCCTGTCACTTAAGACTGTTTATTTCATTACAGCTGCAGCCCAGTTGCAGTCTGGGAAAACACCATGAACGATGGAGAATAAGAAAACAGTACATTAATGATTGGGGTTAAATGCAGAATAATCTCCACAGTGGGAAAACTATTAGACACATCAACAGACTTCACTGGAATTTTACCCATCAGCTGTTTCTTGTATTTTCAAGTGCTGAACCTGAACTTGCCATGAACCCACAGGCCAAAGATCTGAATTACAAAAAAATTATTGTGGAGTGGAAATAAAGCAGAAGAGCAAACATCCCCATAGTTCGCTTTGTCATTCAGGTAGCCTTACGCAACACATCCTCACTGTACAGCCCATATATGCACAGATGGTAAGGACAGCCTGAGTTAGACTGACACTCTGAGGAAGCTGAAAACATGGACATCAGTTGCTGCTCAGCACTGTACCGCGATTCAGACACCAACAACTGACACAACTTAAACAGCAACGTAGAACTTTGCAATAAAATAATTATAAATCTAAACGGGTTCCCACTCATCTCATTGGCTTGTTTACTGTGGATATCTGTAAAAAAAAATCTGCTTTCAGCCTCAATCGAATTAACTGAAGTTGCAGGTACTTTGCTGAACCTTGAGTGAAACATGAAACCTTCACAAAGGAGGGAGGAAACCGATCACGTGGGCTGTGATTTCAGTTTCAGGATAATGATTTGATTTCCTATCGCTGCAGTTGGGATCTTTGTGCTGCGCCGAGCTACAAGCGAGCCGTCGGCGTGGCTTCAGTCGAGGACATCTTGGGGAGTCGGCGCGGTTCTTTGTTCGCGGCGGCTCCGTGCTTTAAAAACAACACAAGGGGAAATGCTGTTCTCATGTTCCCCCCACTGCATAGGGTCTGCAACGCCTGTCTGACAACTCCCTCTCCTCACCCGCCAACAGACGCCCGCCTCCTATATAGCCTACATAACATCCTCATGCGCAACGGCGCCGGAGACAACAGCGCGGTGACCTGCCGCAAAGCACGGCTACACCGAGGTGGGCGGACCCCCTCCCCCCCAAAAAAGAAAAGAAAAATGCCACCAACTCCTTAAATTCATCTCAGATGCCGCCGCTTTTTTCTAAAACCTCCTCATCATAAAGTTGACATCATCCGTTGAGCGCCATGTGCGCACTGTGCCCGCACCTTTTAATACGCAACTGTTTACATCCCGGCTGCCCGTCCTTACATAAGTGGCCAAACAAAAATGCGGCTCTCGGGCTACACTGCGGCTTCGGAGCCGTACCTTTCCGCTCATGTGATTGCAGTGCGGGGATGTGAGGCAATGAGGAGCCGAGTCTCTTTCTTTCTGCTTTCTGCGTGGAACGCGAGCTGCCACATGTTCGTGAACCTGAGACGGAATGGTACAACGGGAGGGCGGCTCGTTTTGTCTCGGCGAGGAGGGGAAGCTGTGTAAACCAGACTGGGTGGAGCAAAGCATCGCCCAGCCCCATCTGTGTGCAGACGGCCTTGTGTCCCGTTTGCCCGGAGCTCGGAGAGAGACTACTGTACCGAGAGTCTGGCAGATAGAGAGAGAGGGGGCCGGTCTATGGGAGGGGCTAGCGCAAAGGGGGGAATCGAGAGGAGGAGGGGGCGAGGAGGAGGAGGCGGCACGGGTGCTGTTTCTCCAGTCTCTTTCCCCTGTCTTTGTCTCACACACTCTTTTGTTAGCCATGCCTAGCCTGCTGGTTCTAGCAGGGATCATGGAGAAAAATGGGGGCTACGGCAGGGATCTGGCCGGCTCCGGCTTCGGAAGCGAGGGTCTCCTTGTGCCGCCCGACGAGGAGGAAGACGACTCCCGTGCCCTCAGGGTCGCGCTGGGCCAGCTGTCTCTGCTGGGGCTCGGGGAAGGCGAGGACGGCGGCGGAGCCCCAACAACAGGAGTACAGGACCGGAGCAACAATAACAACAACCACCACAACCACACGAACAGCGTCGGCGGCGGGGACACGGCGATTCTGCAAGGCAAGAGCAAGTTGTGCGCCCTGTACGAGAGCTCCTCAAGTGAGACGAAAGGACGAGGCTGCAACATAACAGAATGCGTCCCAGTGCCCAGCTCTGAACATGTGGCCGAGATAGTGGGGAGACAAGGTAAACCGCTGGCTCGCGGGTCATTTTCCCTCCAAACTTGAGCTTTTATCAGACAGCAGTGCATGCGCCCCGCCGTGCGTCCCCGTGTGCTTTGTTGTTTGTTCTCCAACTGTTACCTGGTGTTATTTGACAAAGAAAAGGGAGTGGTGTGTCTGTGTGTGTGTGTGTGTGTGTGTGTGCGTGTGTGTGTGTGTTTTTTCCCTACTCCCCCGAGACATCAGCCAGCCTCCCACTTTTCCTGCTTATATTGTTACAAGTTCTCGTGCACTCATGATTAGAGTCGGAAACGAGGCGTTTCGCAGCTTTAGCCTCGTTTTTCTGGACTAAATTTGCACGAGAGGGAGAGAGCAGGAGAGAGACCCGTTCCCTCCCGGGCGAATTATTCTACATCCACGCCATCAATGTCAGCGCACAGACACACACTGGAGCAGGGAGAGCACTTGCTTCCTTTGTCGTCTGAGACGCGCCAGACTGTTCAAAAAGGCAACGTGCGCCTGGTGTACACAAGAATGTCTCTCGGCGCGAGCCGATGGCCAGGAAAATCAGCGAAATTACACATCTGGCCTCAAAAATCGAGTGGATGTTTTCCCCCCTCTTCCTTTCTAAATTTATTCTGCTCGTTGTTTATGTTGCGCACTGCCCCAGTGACACAATTGGACAATAGAGCGAAGCGTGGTCACCGTTTTTGTTTTTTGGGTTTTCTTTTTCCTCGGATGAGGGAGTTGGAAAGTTCAATTCCAGACACGTTGCAGGTTTTTTTTCTTACAGTTGGAGGTTTTTTCTTGAACAAAGAGCTGAAGTTGAATGACAGCAGCTGTCAAACAAAGGTGTGAGTCGGGGGATGAGGGGAGGGGCGCATTAACACAGTGTTGCTGCTTGGCACACGGGATCGTCTTAAAGGGGTGACTCAGCGAGAAGTTGCACCCGAAGGTGGGAATCCTTCTTTGTTTTTTGGAGGGGGAAAAGCAGAATATTGATATTGTTTGTGGTTATTTGCAGTTGTGCGGTTGTTTGGTTGCATACATGCTTTTTTCATTGTGTAGTTGCAAACAAGCCTGAACTTAAGTTTAAAAAACAAAGGAAAAAAAGGAGGGACCCTGGTGTTCATATGGAGCACTCATTGGTAACTGCTGTGATGAACCCATGGGTGAGAGGGGCAGGGAGAAACAAGGAGTGGGGGGGTGGGGGTACGGCGTCTGAAAGCTGAATGGGAGTCACGCCTTGGAGCTCAACACAAGGGACTCCTCATGAGCCCCACTTCACTGCACACTCTCAATGCCACATGGTTGTCTGTCAGGATAGGGGAGAAATCAGGGGGTTGGATGGAGAGAGGAGCACAATGACTGCAGGGTGGGTGAGGTCCCATCAGCAAATCCCGATTTATCTGCCAACAAAAACAAACAGGAGTTGTGATAGCTCCTTTCACTGACACTCCCCTTTCTTGCTTCGCTGCTGTAGTAACGTGGCTTTAGTGTGTGCTGCTGAGCCCCCCCACATCTCCCATGTCGGCTCCCATTCTTTACCCTGAAGTGTAAGTTTTGAATTTTAATGGGCTAACCGAAGACAGACAGAGGGTGGATCCAGTGTGCACAAGTGCAGCAAGAGGGCCCTTTAGCCTAGACCAGGAAGAAGTGCTGATTTGGGGTGGGGGGAATTTGAGATGAGCTGCTTTTGATCTGGGCCCTTCGTTAGCTGGCACTACATACACACCCCCTTCCGCTCAGAGCCCGTCTGGTGAATCTGGCAAACGAAGCATCCTGTCTTGGAGAAAGGGGTGGGTATGATTGTTTTCTCCTGTCAGAGGCGCAGGCATTGATTCTCCACCTTACGCTGGAGCTCTTCAGATCACGGGTGGCTTTGTTTTGAATCACACTTCACTGCTAATGCAGCTGAAAATTACGTTTCTTCACAGCGACCTTAATTTCCGGGTGTGATTAATTGGCTTTTGCCTTCTTTGTTTACATACGTTTCTTTCATCGAGACATCAATTTCAGCTAATTAAAATTTAAAATCTAGTTTGAGAGAAAGAATTGTTCTTTGAGCCTTTCGTGCCAGGAGCAGGTCTGTTAGGCCAACGCCGGGCAATGACCGCAGAGTGCATGTTCAAATTTGGGGCATGAGGAATGTTATCACCACCCTTCTGCGTGTACCAGCGGTTCCTGGGAAGCCAGTGCCCCTGAACAAAGTGGGTCAGTGTAGTAGCATTAGGGAGATACTCTGCTTCACCTTCAGGTGTCTTTAAACCTTTTGATACCTGGTGCTGTGCTATTCAGCTGGTCATGACACGCTGCGAGCTCTGAAGCACCTGGACTCTGTTACAGTGAGATCAGGGTGGTTTTTTTTAATGTGATGTTGTCCAGAGAGCCACAGTGACACAAGGAAAGCACATTTAATGTGTCAATAAAGGAAGAAATCTTAATGAGGAAGCTGGCAGAGTTTGAATACAAACCTGTGTGAGGTTAATGAGGTGTAATCCAAACAGAACTGCTGTGTCTTCTCTTACCATTGTCTTCTTGACCTCAGGTGTTCCTGGCAATCCTCCTAAATAATTACTGATTTATTATATGCCTGTATCCTCCTCTGTCCCATTACATTGTCAGGTGATTCGTCCTGAAATGACATTAACCTGCACTCTTTCACATTAAGAGTCTGCCTTAAAAGCATTTAACAGAGTAAACTATTCCACGCTGATCAGAAACAGGACCAATGCAGAGCAATAAGTGGCCCAAAAATGAAGCATATGTGGGTTGTCTGTATTGTCTGGAAACAAGTTCAAGGAGAGGTCAGAAAGTAATTGCTCACCAGTACAGTGAAAACACATGGCATCTGCCACAGCCGTGTCCACGCTGGCCGGTGCCTGCACCATGCGTCTTAGTAAGTTTTGTTGTAGTGCAAATAAAATGGCCCTCTCAATAAAGACACTAATGATTACGCCCTTGAACTCTCATAAATCCTGGTAATTACTCAGCTTTTGCTTTGGCCTCCAAGACATTAGGTTAAAGTGGTCATAAGCAGCTCAAACATCAGAATTTTCACTGGACATAGCAGAGACGAGCATTTCTTTCAGCTCAGGCTGATCAAGTGTGTTCCTGGTTGTAACCCTTTTAACTTGATTTGTGCCCCCGAATTGAGCCGGCGTGTCTTTACTCATTTTAAAATGTATGTTGGTGTCTCTGCAGGTTGCAAGATCAAAGCCTTGCGGGCCAAGACCAACACCTACATCAAAACCCCCGTCAGAGGAGAGGAACCTGTGTTCTTAATCACTGGCCGCAAGGAGGACGTTGCTCTGGCCCGTCGTGAAATCATCTCTGCTGCAGAGCACTTCTCCATGCTGCGGGCGTCCCGCAACAAGCTGGGAGTGTCTTTTAGCGGCTCCCCGCCCACACCTTTGCCAGGTCAGACCACCATTCAGGTGAGAGTGCCATACCGTGTTGTCGGGCTGGTGGTGGGGCCTAAAGGCTCCACCATAAAACGCATCCAGCAGCAGACCTGCACTTACATTGTCACTCCGAGTCGAGACCGCGACCCGGTCTTTGAGATCACAGGCTCCCCGAGTAACGCCGAGCGGGCCCGCGAGGAGATCGAAGCACATATCGCCTTTCGAACGGGAGGCCTGCACGACCACAACAACGAGAATGACTGTCTGGGCCCGAATGGTGGGAGCAGCCCGGCGGGCAGCAGCGGTGGTCTGGAGAGCCGGCTACAGCAGGTGTGGGGGCTGCAGGGGGGCCAGCGCAAGCCACTCACCAGCAGCTACCGCCAAAACTTCTCAGATGCCATGGTTGGAGGAGGGGGAGGAGGTAGCGAGGGAGGGGGGATCTACAACAAAGGCAACTTCTCCAGCTCTGGAGAGAAGCCCTGCTCTTATTTTGGATCTGACGGTACCCAGAGCTGGGGTGACCCCGACTACCCCAAACAGGTGGCCTTCTACGCCCAGCAGCGCTCCAAAAGCTTCGGAGGCCTCCCGCTGCCCCTAACCAGACTCTCCCCTGGCTTACCCGAGTCCTGTGGAGGCGGAACCACCAACAACTCTTCAGTCACCAGCATTGTGCCCATATCCGGCTCACCTCACGCCCAGGCCCGCCGCGCCCACAGCGAGCCCACCTCAGCCGGCGAAGGCTTTCCAGGCCGTCTGCCAGTGCCGGACTCGCCGCCGGCCACTGTGCGGGACTGCATGACCTGCTTTGAGAGCAAAGTGACGGCTGCCTTGGTGCCCTGTGGCCACAACCTCTTCTGCATGGAGTGTGCCATCCGAATCTGTGAGCTCAACCACCCGGAGTGCCCAGTGTGCCACACCCAGGTCACACAGGCCATCCGGATATTCTCTTAAGGAACCATTTCAGTTTTTATCATTAGTTTTGTCAGTGTTTGTTCAATAATTATTTACTGTTATTATGATTATTATTATAATACACATTTTGGTTTTTCAGAAAATTTAAAAACAATCAAGCAGATATTTTAGAAGGCACTGCTTGCTTTACTAAAAAGTATAAGAAATATTTTTAAGTTTTTCTTTTATATATATATATGCATATATATTTTATAAAAGTTTTGTTTATAAGAGAAGTATAGTACCTTGCATTTTCAGTTTTTTGACTGCTGCTGTTTTTCATTCATGAATCACAGTGAAGGCAGAGGTAGACAGTAATGTGAACATTTTATTATTCAAATTTTTTATTTTACCGTGAAGTGGGTTTATATTGAAGGAGGAAGATGATTGTTGAGGTACCCAGTCTGCACCCGACTAACCCAGAAACTCACTGTTGTTATTAGAAGGAAAAAAAAAAAGATTCCTCATTGCACCTTACAATCATCTTGGTCTAAAATAGGATTGTCAATCATACCTTGAAATTTCTGGAGCAGATGTGAAGGTGAATTTAGCCTCGAACTGTGATTGTGATTTGATATAATTGGTCCAAAATATTTTGGCAAAAATGAAAATGTGAATAGATTGGTTCTAGTCAAAAGAAACAAAAAGCAGACTTTTATTTTAGAGTCTTAGAAACCAGATAATCCTAAAAAAAAAGGGATAGCTCGTTACATGATTTATTTATACTAATTGGTGGAATTTTATCGGCGTCATTAATCACAGAGATGGATGAAGGCTGTACAAAGTATCAGTAAAAGTCTCTTTCCAGTAGCCATTGATTAAACTTTGGCCACTGCAGTTTGTTGAAAAGATTCAGTAATGCTTGCTCCTCGTGGCACTTGAAAAGCATGTGGTTCCTCGGTTGGCTTAAAGCACTGATTTAATTTGTGAGGCGGAAAGCCTTGGAATTCATCCAGTTGGCTGCTTCTCGATATCCGTCTCCCCGATGGACTTGTCTCAAAGCCACCTTAACCGCGCTTTATTGTTTTGTGGTGGTCATTTGGCCACAGTCGCCGAACAATGTAGGACAAAACACGAGCTCCAGTCAACGAGCGTTTCACTGTAAATAAGGAAGAGAATTAGCATGTGGACAGAAGCCGAGTAAAAATTGTAAAAGTGTTCCCTTAATCAGCAGCACATTAAAGTAGTTGACACTGTAAAATACAGAGTCCCGAGTCAGTAATCCCCACTCTTCGTGCCCTCCGCTAACAGCATTATGTGCGAGCTCTGAGGGGCCTGCTGTCTCCCCTGTAATTAGCAAAGCTGTACAGGAGCAGGTGTTTCATGACACACTGTGGCTGTGACCCCGAGTTCGAGGCCTCGCCTAGCCCCCTTTTCTTTCTCCCTTTTCTTTGGGAGTGGCTTTCATGTCTCCCCCTTCTTACAGTTCGATCGCTTGCTTTCGAAGGCGTCTCTCTGAGCGAGGTGTATTGTCTGGGCCCGGTAACAGCGTGGGCTGCAGAAAGCTCGGACACGGCCTGGATCCACTCATTCATAATTAGGCAAATGGGCTGGTCCAGGTGCGGACCGTGTGGCAGGGTCCCGCGGCAAGCCCCTTACCACCCCACCCCGATGTTAGCCAGCACAGAGGGGGCTGGACGGTCCGCGTGCAGCTGGGTGAAGAGGGCCCCCCGTCTTCCACTCCCCCTTGCCCATTCCGCCCCCCTTTTCCTCTCCGTTTCTGCTGCTCCGAGCCATCCCCAGTGAGGAAAAGGGGGGACTCTTTTGTCCCAAAACACACACACACACAATTTGAATCCTGAATCTGGCAGCGCCTGTGAAATAAGGGGAGGCTAAGGAGAGAAATAAAAAAAAAAATCTACAGTTATCGGGAGACACGACAGTAACACGTTTTTACTGTTGATGTGACACAATTTGAAAATGTTCACCTGCAAAACACAGATTTTACCCCCCACCCTTGCCTTCATTATCCAGCTGCAGCTCCCTGAATTTTGGATGGGGTCCTGTTTGTGTGACGGCACCAGTCCAAATCGAAATTTCCACAAAGCTCCCCCGCCCCCTTTACCTCTGGGCTCCCTCCCCATGTCAGCTCGCTACTGTATGGGACATCCTGCAACTGCCCCTTCACTATGGACACCGAGATTTCAGCCCCCTTCCCCCCCTCACTTGTGTTAAGCTTCCAGAATGAAATCAGACAATTGTAATTGACAGAAAAGCAGAGGAAACGCCCCATTTAACTAGCACTCATGCTGAATCAAATTACACACCCTCTGCGTCTGCCTTAGCCCCAGCCTGGGGATTTCGGAGGGCTAGAGGAGAGCGGATGGGGGGTAGGGATTAAAGCTGTTGAATGATGGGGGTGGAGGGGTTTCATTTTGGTTGGAGAAGGAGAGAAGTAGGCTCCAAAAAACACGAGACCCTGCAGATCGTGCTGTTTTATTGATCGTTCGACTCTTTCAGCGAGCTGTTGTCACATGTGCGCCATGCGTGGTGACGACGGTGATTCAGCAGGCCTCTCTCAGATCGCACCGGAGAACAATTAAAACTCGGCTTCCGTCTCAAATAAAAAGAAAAACCCGATTAAAAATATCAAATTGTGTCTTCAGGCCACAGAAGGCCTTTCCTTTAAAAACAAACAAAGAACAACACACAAGGCAGACCACTCGCATGAGGTGTGGACTGCAGGGAAAGCACTGTACTCGGGGGAAACCCTGAAATCTGTCAGACGTAGGAACAAAGAATAGTTGGGATTTTATGGATGGACAAGTTGCACAGTGGTTTGGCCTAAGCTTTCAACGTCACATTCAAAGCAGTATGACACTGTTCTTTGAACTTCGTATTCTGTTTTTTAAAAATGTTTTATTTTCTGCCTTAATATTTTTTATGAAATATTGCCATTACTTTGGCGTACAAGGTAGCAACTTTGGCCTTTGATTAGGGGTGTAATAATTCTGAGAGTGCGATACAAATGAGTATCGCGTCGCAGCTCCATCTTCCCATACTGTGATGCCCACGTGGAGCTGATAACGCCTAGTTTCGTTTTTTGTGATCCAATGGTCTCTAGCAAAAAGAAAAAAACCCACCCCCCTCCCCCCGTTTTTTGGCATCTGCCCTCGAACCGAACCGTGATTTTGGAGAATTGTTACACCCCTACATTTGATACTACTGCTACTCCCTAAAACAACCTTTAAAGTACTTATTTTTGGAGAAAAAAATAAGAATGTGAATCAAACTGCTTGGGTGGGGGATTAAAGGGATTCAGGAAATTAGGCTTTTTAAACACATTACATCAAATACAGAGTAAAGCACCTTATTACAAAACACACGCATCTGATTAATACCAAACCGACCGCTGATGGTGAAATATATTTCATAGAATCTGAAAGACATGCACATAAGGATTCCCTATCATTTTTGTTCATTGTGTTATGGTGGTTCTTGTTATTCTTAATACTACAGTAGTACTTAGTGGCAATTTGGGAGACCTCTCATCCATTCAGTCAATGCTGTTGACTTTTGTTTCGAGTTTTGCACTGGTTTAATGAAGAGAGGGCTTATTGGAGATTCTCCCAGTTTAGACGCTGTACAACTTAATGAGTACTTTTAAATGGGAAGGCGCTCTGAGCATCTATGTAAATACAGTATGTGTATCAGTTACAAACATCCAGACAAAAGCCTGCTTCGAGTGAGCTTTGGATTATTTTTTACAAAGTGTCGATGTTTTAGCGTAAGGAATTCAAAACGTTTGAGTTTAGGGAGAGTAAATCTTTTATATATGCGTCCCATCATCCCATTTACTATAATAGTATATTAGATAGATCCATACATACGTGTAAGAATATTATTTAAACTTAGTATTTCATCCAAATATATAGATGAAAAGTTAACCAGACACTACGTTATTATGAAGTCGCTGATGTATAAATCCAATCTCCAATAAAAACTCAAATGAATAGTATGTGTATTAAGCTAACCCCTAATGAAGAAAGAAATCTGTATGTATATTAGGACGAAAAGCAATAATAGGACTATACTGGGACAATAAACAAGAGGAGCCGGCTCAGTTCTTTAAAAAAAATAAAATAAAATTAGGATAATAACAGTATATTCTGTCTTATATTTGCTTCAATCTCCTTATAGATTAATGTCAGTGTAGAAACACAGGCGTGATGAATTGGTGACAGCTTCGGGATAAGTAATTGCTCTTGTTGTGTTCATCATCAGGGTCATTTGTTATTTGGATAATCAATCAATCCTCAGAAGCACTGAAAACTGTAGATTCTGCAACGTGGAGGAAATCTCACTGTGTGTAAAAATGACAAAAGCGTCCGGAGCACGAGCAGCACGAGGTCTGACCTGTTAGTGAAAGAGCAGCAGCTGCTGGCTGAACTTGGGACAGGCTCGTGTGTGAGGGCTTTGGTCGCAAACAGAGCGAATGAACAAACGGCAGTGAGACGGGACACGCTGTCTACACGTTTAGATTTTTTTACACTTGATGCTCTTTTTTAAAGTCTATACGGGGCAGGCGTAGAACTCACAGCATATCCTGAGATGACTTTTGTTTACATTGTAATAAGTTCTGGCTCTGTTTGTTTTGCACCACCCGCTTTTCATTTGCATTATTTTTGAAAGGAAAAAAAAAGAAAAAAAAAAAGAGGGTCAGACATAGCCAAAGAACAAAAATACAAGGAGAGCTAACTTATCATTTAACTTATTTTAGAATAAGAGTTTACTAAATGAAGAATAATCTCTAGTTAGTTTACCCAAAAGCCCAATTAATCGATATCGGTGAAAACGAAGGCATATCGTGTTTCAGTGTTGTTGGATTAATACTACAGAGACACCACTAAGAGACTTACTTCTCCCCAAAGAGAGCAGCTTAAAGCACATCCTGGCACTTCCTCAGTCTTTTGTGTAGTTTTTCTATGAGTTTGGTTGTTGGGAAGAGGAAAAAAAAAACCTAGTTCAGGGATTTTCTTAATCTTTCTCAAAAAAACTAAACAAAACTTTGCCAATCTTGTGACAAAAAGGTAAAAAAGAAAATTCAAGTAGATGGAAAGAATCGTGCGGACACTGACAAACCAGCAGAAATTCACAGCGTACGGGATTACGCGTTAGTTCAGAGAGCCATTCGCCGTATCCTAAAGTTTAACTGCATGCTAGTAAAAATATAGTACAATAGGTAAGATTTATCAGAAAGGAAAAGTTAAGATAAAGGATTCATCAGCCTGATACCTGGAGTGTATAAAAAGCTTTAAGACCTTAAAGTGAGCATTGGTTTAAAGTCGTATATTTACCGTGTAGTTTAACTAAGTGATACATAGTTTAATTATGATTCTTAAGATTATGCTAAAGTGTAAGTTTCATTTGTCCAGCTCACCCAGTATGAAAGACATTTTAGCCAAGCGGAGGTACAGAGGGGTGGGGGCGACTCCCGTGAGATTTGATTCATTAAGTTCTTGTTAGTATTATTTACAATATTGTATTAAGCTTACTATTATAGTAATGGTAGAAACTGTTGATGTTTTTCTTCTCTTGATATAAAAAGGTCTTTATGCATTTATGTAGAATCCCTTTTAAGGAGTGATAGGAAATCCTTATTTTCAATGGATGCACTTAAACAGTTGTACCAACCTGTCTAAATCACACATTGAGCAAGCAATGCATTTGAATGTAAACGAAAAAAACAACAAAAAAAAAAGGAACAAAAAAACCTTAATGCACTCCTTATCTCTTAGTCAGTTTTGCAAGTGAGCTTTAAGTTTGTTTGTTTTTTGGACAGAATTTGCAACAGCTTTTTTTCAACGTAGACTATATTTGAGTTCTTCCACATACATTTATAGAAAGTAACTTAAAATGAATAAAAAAAACATATTACAGTTTCTCAAATCTATTTTGCTAACATGGGTTATTATTTCATAGAAAGCAGAGGAAAAAAGTCAGTATCTGGATGTTATTTATGAAAAGTTAAAAAAAAAAATGAAGCAACATATTTATGAGTAACCTCAAGACATTTTGTTTTTTAATTAAAATTACAAGAAGTTAATATATTTCTAAACACAGGGAAGTCAGTTTCTACTAATAAGTAAAAATGAGAAAAGATGTTTAGAAGTTTTATTTATGAAAGTTACGGGAATGCGTTTCGTCCGTTTACTTCGTGGTGAATGACGTGAATGGAGCGAGAGTTCTCCGTAGCTTAAATTTTAACTTCAGACATGCACTATTTCAACACCAGTGCATTCACAATGGAATAATTACAGAAAATAATATAATATTTTTTAGAATTTGGAGATATTTTAGTCACAGAGCATCAATTTTGTGCCTCAATTCTATATTTTTCCTGCATCAGCATTCTTTGTGTGGTGCTGCTTGCTGTAACCCCCTTCTCCCCTCTTCAACTAACCCCATGTTACTGACTGAAACACATTACTCATTTCCTCTGTAATCTAAACTCGCTTTTACTTATCAAACGTTTAAAAAAAAACAAAAAAAGAAAAAAAAAACACGTTACAACTGCAGCGCTTGGGATGAATGAGCAGCTGTGACCCTCTCGCCAATAGGGCCACACACAACTTGTACACACTTTCATTCATACTTTTTCTACATCTGCTACTCAGACAGTTTGAGATCAACGACGAAGGAGCAAAGCTTTCTCTTATGGGTTAACTAGGTGAAGTTCAAGTGGCAGCATCTAGGAGGGGACAACAGTGCACTGTGTAGTAGATCTATGTAACTAGATGCACACATATACACACACACACACACACACACACACACACACACAGAGATTCATTACCGTGCTAGTTTGCATGTATGTTGTATGGTCACTTAGATGGGAGAAATGGTGCAGGCCAGACTAACACTTGGGCCATTTCTCCTCTGTAGATTTTCATAGTTGGAGCCTCTTTGGAAAGTGGAAAGTTGACTTGAGTTTGGAGCCAGACAAAGTCCATTTCAGTCCCCACGTCAACGTTCCGGGTTCCCCGTTTAGTGATGAAAGATTGCTTGTGACACGCAGGAATTAACTCAAAGTTCTTGGTTTGTAAAAGACACGATACAGTTTTTAAAACTTGGCAAAAATGATGCACGTTTTCTGCTGCATGTAGAGGTTGGGGACTGAAGTGGCGCTCGCTGGTGAAACTCGCAACCGTTTCCAGAGAGGCCGATGCAGTCTGACAGTTTGTCTTTGGTAGCGTTTCCAATTTTTCCAGCACAGTAGAAGTGTTTCATACCGGTCTAATAGTGGTTGTAGTGCATTAGTTTTTGGGCCAGCATCAGCTGGCAATAGTTTCTGGTTTCTCTGTGAACAGTGAAGGAGGGCTGCCACTGCGGCCCTCTGTGGCTGACCGTCAACTTTGATGGATGGGAAAAAAAAGAAATAAAAAATAATAATAAAGAAGTCTTTGAACTCTGTTACAGTGTGCCATGCCCTACAAGGCATGTGATATTGCAGGTTTATTTCTTATAGCACATGTTTTTTTGTGAATTACATTTTTTGGAGACATTTTTATTATTATAATTATTATTATTATTGTATCTGCGCCATGTTAGTTCTGGTTCTTTGTTATTTTTTCAAGATTCAAGATGTATTGTAAATGTTTCTAATAAAACAAAAATGAAATGACCTCCAATCGATACCAGTCGTTTTTTCCCCCCTTTGAAACGGGAGTTCTCAATTGTCACATTTTAATTTCAGCGATCAGAGGAACGTGTCATTCTAGAGCACTGTGCAAATGTCGTATTAAATTAGAGCGTACATTAAGGATTAGGTTACTAAAATATAGCCCTGTCAATGTATCTGCACAAAGCAATCACACAGTAGCTAAAATCATAATAATGTATACTTTATTGATCCCCGTGGGGAAATTTCTCTCTGCATTTAACCCAGTCACTCTGAAGCAGTGGGCAGCCATTGGGTGCCCGGGGAGCAGTGTGTGGGGACGGTACCTTGCTCAGGGGTACCTCAGGGTAGCTGTTCGGTGAATTTGAACCCCTGACCTTCCGATTCATGGGGCCACCACTCTACCTACAGAGCTATCCCGGCCTACATGACTCACTCAATGAATTCTGCCTTTCTGTCAATAAAGAAGCCAGCTGCTTCAACCTGTCCGTGTTTAACAAAATCCCGAGAAGACACGAGAAGACAAAGGCTATAAGAAATGAGATTTATTTATACATATGCAGTCCAAATATACATATTAGAATAAATGTTTTAAAAGCCCTAACCTAACACCACCCAGTTTAAGACCTGTGAATTCAACAGAAGTCTGTGTTGATGTGGAAACACATCAGCAGGATAAACACCATCTGTGTCCATAACCTTTGGATTTAATCAAGCCCCTCCAAACGCTACCGTCCTTTCTCCCTTTTCTCATCTATTAAACTATTAGATACTAACAAACCCAATCCTGACTCCCGATACAACCCCCCGCCCCACCCTTCCACAGGAAATAAAGACGAGTGAAAGTGAGGGCAGACCTCGGGGAGATCCCAGAAGGCAGAGTCCTGTTCCAGTTACATACAGTGTACAGGGAGAGATGGAAAGGAGTAGGTGAGCAGGCAGTGGAGGATTTCATTTACAGTAAAACAAGCCATCTCGGGTACATCAGAGACCAAGGGAGCAGGGCAGGGCTGAGTGCCCTCACTACCTCATCCCCTGAAATATTATCCAGCCATCTATCCTAGCTAGCAGGCAGCGGTAGCACAGGGCTGTCCGTGCATTTAAAACCAATTCCTTGATCTCTCCCTCTCCACGGGTTTAGGGCAGGGGTGAAATGGTCACGGGCAGAGCCAGTGCTGTGTGAGGAAGTTAACCCGTCCACTAGCGACGCAGCTATCCCATCTCATTTAGAGTTAACGCTTAGCAAAGCTTGGAGCATGACTCATCTGTGGAGTACAAAGTGTGCACAGAGCAGGAAAGCCTTCCAAACAAAGATCAAAAGCAATCAAAAAAGAAATTGCATGTCAGTGTTGGGAAGGGATGTTATTGCTCTGAGAGGCCTGGTGGAACACAACCAAATTCCAGCGTGTGCACTTAGGAAAAACGGCCTGAGCCCCTTGCCCCTACATCAGTGAGGGAGCATTACCCTTAAACATACACAAATAGGATTGTAGGCAAAAGCATTAAAAAAACAAAACATATATAAAACGAGCGAGCTCCCCTTGCTATGAAGAAATCAGAGTGAAAACTATAAACCAACTAAACCCTTTGGCCAAACAAGACATCAATCTAGTGTTCAATAAATATTAGAAGGGGACATTCTTTTCGGAAGAATCTACATTTTGCGAAAATGGGAAGGACAGTGGTTGCAATTCAGTCTCTTGGAAGAGGATTTTTACAGCCCAATATCCCGTTAGAGTGAAACTGAAAGGAACCATTTACTAGCTTGTAAAATAGAGCTTTCAAAGGAAGGACACGAAAGGAACCTTAATAAATTTTTTTTCTTAGATTGCAAATCAATTCTGATCATGTGCGTCTTTAATGAACAGTGCAAGTCACCCGTTTTCTTTCCATCGACACCAATCCTCCCTCAGAAAACGTCCTGCTTGCTTATTTAAACTTATTCACCATCCCCTCCTCTTCACTGTATCAAGTTTTCCCAAACAGACAAATCAGACCCAAGTGTCCTCGTGTGACTCTCTCTACCTGTCTCCATTTTCCCTGTCCATCTGCCTGTCTTTCCTATCTGGCTGTTTCCCCCAGTTGCTTGGAGGTGAAGGAGGAGGAGGTCAGCGGGAAAGTCTCAGTTAGACTGGCAGCAAGCGCCCTTGTTGGATGAGTTTTGGGTGGGCTCAACGGTGATGGGCACTACGTTGGAGGCTGGTGAGAAGTCTGAGTCGCTGCGTCCTGACATCTGCCTCTGTGACACGATGTTGTAGATGGCTGTGATGAGAGAGAGAGAGAGCGAGAGGGAGTAAGTTACGTGTAGATGCCTATAAATCCAGCCAACAGTGGGACATATTGTGATAAGGACAAGCAGCATGGCAAACTGAACAACAACTGCTCTATCCAGACTCCTGGCAGCACTGACGGATTCTTTCCATCCTAAACTGGCATCGTTATGTCATGTGGCAGAATCAAGTCTCAATTTAGGCATTCCCCAAAGCTGCAAGATGCAATACATTTTATATTAAAATTGCAAGAACTGTGATCTGCTCCTCTGATCCTGCATGCTCATGCTGAGAAGCAGAGAATGCAACCAAGTTTCACAGGCGATACACAAGAAGCGTTCCAACACACAGCGAGCATCGGTTCTTCTCCTCATCCATCTGCTTCTACTACACTTCAAAACAGGGCTGTGAGAGTAATCAGATTTTAATTTCAGTTACTAACTTTATGTGTTTAAGTTAACAGATAATTGATTCAGATTTTTTTTGTCTGCGTGGGTTCTCTCCAGGTTTCCATCTTCCCTCCCACAGTCCAAAGACATGCAGGTAGTGGGGTTAGGTTAAGAGGTGGATCTAATTTGTTCATAAGTGTGAATGTGAGTGTGAATGGTTGCCAGTCTTCCTGTGTTAGCCCTGTGACAGACTGGTAACTTGTCCAGAGTGCGCCCCACCTCTCGCCTCACGGCTGGGATAGGCTCTAGGCCTCCCAGCAACTCTGAATCGGATAAGGGGAAGATGATGGATGAATAGTTTAAACTAGAAATGTTTTGGGGGGGCGGGTTTCCTAAAGAGCAGTAACAAATCTTTATAGCAGTTCATTTATCCTTTTAAAGGCTCAAGTGGTTTAGTGGTCACCTCATCTTCCTGGTTTTAAACCTTCCTACCACCCAGACCCTTTCTTTGTTGCGTTTATTTGTTCTTCTTGTAGCTAATGTGTATGTTAGCTAGGGTAATCGGCCACAGGTGTGGATGTGGGTGTGAGTGGTTTTCTTGTCACTGCATGAGTGTGAAGGACTAGTGAACTGTCTTTCACCCCGTGACAGCTGGGTTAGGCCGTTTTCATGCTTGTCTCGTGACGATTTTCACGTCCTATCCTGTGTTGTGAGGCACAATCTTTGTGGCGCGCCTCTACAGTGGTGCAGGTTTTTACCATTATTTTAATGATACTCCTGCAGAGAAGCTCAGAGACACACTGACACACAGAGGGAGATTTTGCAACTCTTTGGAAAACTGAGTTTGTAAAAAGAACTTTGCAAAAAAACATTGTCCTCTTTATCAGCGTGTGTGACGCGATACTGTCTGAGACGCGACGCCTATCGTTTGGGAGGGAGCGGCTTCTTGTGCCTTAATGTGGGTACACATGGCTGAATCTTTGTGACGATGGCACAGCAATGAGTGAAGTGACCACTGCAGAGGGTATATTGGCACCTTTAGGCTCTAGGGCCAAAAACCTAAATAAGCCGTTAAGAAAAGGCCTCATTTTGGTGTGTCCTTCCTAAACGCTCACTTTGTTCATCGCGAACCAATATGATGGAAGGGAATGTTTGGACAAAAAGATCCTTCTTAAAGAAGTTAATGTTGTTTGGCTGAGTGGTCTTTCAGTCTGGTTTCCGTATGTGAAGCTATGGAGAGATCATTAATGGTTGCAGCTTTCTTTGTCTGATTATCGAGGGTTTTTAATGTGGTCCACTTTCACCAGTGTGGAACTCAGGTGTTGGTCGGCTGCTGGCTCTCCCCATGTGCGCAGATCATGGAGGCAGAGGACCAGAAGGGAGTGGGCCTTGCACGTTTGGATCCAACTTCCTACAGGATTCACCTCCCATTTTTCCCCCCCATACATTTGAATTAAAGTATACACAGGCTATATAATAGGCTCTACATAGTTTGTTAGCACGTGGGCCTCTTGTCCCATTGGTACCCACAGATATCTCTCTACAGAGGCTGCAAGGGAACAGTGAGTGCTCTTACAACACGGGCTTAGTCAAAACTCACTCCCTACCAGATAACCCCCATATCACGTCCCCCTCATTTTCATTTCCAAGGAAAACTCGTGCAAAAAGTCCCATGCTTTTAAAGTTCAATGAATCTAAGACATTTGTTTAATTTATGAATCACTGTGTTGAATAATCACAATAACAATTATTGACCAAAAGCATCATAGTTATGGTTTCTGAACACAATCAATCAAGCCTACGTGAAAATATTTCAACCAAACATTGACTTGGATGTCACTGGAGTGGTCAGGACTTGTGCAAACACCTCTGGCTTGCTGTTGCATACTCCCTCTTTAACTAAACTGCACCCAGATGTGGAACAAAATGGTCCTGAAATAAAAACTGCCTATGAAGCAAGAACATTTAAAGCAAAGCAAGGCTCGGCGCTCTGATGTGACGTGTCAGGTGGTAAAAACACAACTGATTACTACGAACCATACACAGCCCCAGCTGCAGTGCATATACACATGATGACCCAAGAACTATCCTCTGCTGCATGAGCGATGACTTCTTTGCTCCAGTGGGTCTAAACTTCAGTTCTTACTAGCTTGCTGATGCACGGTTACTCTTCTCTCTTAATGAGCCAGTTACCAATGTTACCTAAATGGGGCTTGTTGGTTTGAAGTTTACGTGAACTAGAAATTGCTGATAAAGCGGAAGAAAGGCTCAAACTGCCTGAGCAGAGTAAGAATACAAACTGGAAGAGGCGCATACGTGCAGGCTGATAGCCCTTGGGGCAATTCAAGTGGAAGCACCACTCACTGTTGGATTGTCCCTTTAGGCACTCCAGGGGTTGACTGAGTCACAACAATTGCTGTTTTTCTCCATGTTATCCAATCTTACACTTGTTAGTGTGGCCATATGCCTCCTAGGGAAACGGCTCATAGACATTCACTTAGGGAAACATTTGCGAACCCACATCACATTTTCTTTCTTGAACAAGTTGTAGATGCATCTGGTAAGGCGCATTTGTGCCATCTCTCAAGACCGACTGGTCTTTCAGTGTAGCAATTATTCCTGTTTTTGACCTTAAAAAAGGATCAAGGTGGTATTTCTGCACACAGGCGTGGATGCCAAAGGCTGATTAGATGGATTTTGCTGCCATCTAGTGGCAAAGGTAAGGTATTGTTAGATAAACTCAAAGACGAGAATATTTACGTATTCTCATATATTGCATACAAAACCTTTTATTAAACGGTGCTTCTCTTAAGTACCAGAACACATTTTGATATGAGGTAAATGCAGTAGAAAATAACCACAAACGTGACACTGACCTGTGAGGATCGTCTGGAAAGCCAGCTCCACATTAGACGAGTCTAACGCTGATGTTTCCAGGAAAGACAAGCCGTGCTTCTCTAGAAAACAAACATGTACAAAAGACCAATTAGTGTTAAAGGCCAACACCATTCTAGCTTCAACATCTTCACTGAGCTGAGGTTTATTTTACTGGGACTGATTTTTTCCCCTGCATTATGTGCTCACTCCAGGGCCTCTGCAGTTCTTTCAGCCACTTCCTGTTTGACGGCTCACGTCGTAGTTTGATGTTTTTGATTAGACTTATTAGTTGACGAATATTAATTTGCTATTTTGATAACCGTTTATCCAACATTTGGTGATGCATAGAATATGTCAGATAAATTCTGTAACTGTAATCCAGCTCGTCTATGACACAAATCTGTTTTCTGTGCGTGAGCACACGGTACATTCAGTCCTTTCCAAGTCTTCTTCCAGTTTTCCTTCCAGTTAAGAACAGAGGGTGTTGAATGTTGTACATGTGGTAAAATGTTAGCCTCTATAAATAAGTTGAGTTTACATTATAAAAAGTGAAATGAATTATGTCAGCTAACATGCAAAGTGGTTTACTGGGTAAATCAACTGCCAATCTGATCAGCTACAGATATAAAACACATAGTTAAATAATAATAAGAGGCAACCTAGTCTGTGTGTTGTCTTCTTTTGAGAGAAGCCTTTACTATCACACTTTGCATGCATGTGTAAACCACATGGTCTTCATGTAAACGAGGCATCATAAATTAGGTCAGAGTTGCATACAAAAGTAGCAGCACTGACTGTTAAACCTCCCACAGCAACAATCACACTCTTTACGTGACTACAGACAGGAACAGGATTAGTGTCTTCAGTGAAAGCAGCAACACAGGTTAAAAAAAATCCATCAAGTTCAAGTTCAGAAGTAAAGAAACCTCCAGCTGCTGAAAACCAATCAGCATGTCAAAAGCAAACAGAAGTCTTTACATTTTCAGTGTTAACAAATCATTTTCGTGTTCTTTCATTAAAGTACTTAAACACATCCAAGTAAAAGAATTTACAGCATCAGAAGCATTGCAGACATGGGCAAAAACAAACGTGTGCACTGAAAGGCAGAGCGGGTATAAAAAAAAAGAAAAGAAAACACAAACAGTGTAAACAGAACTGAAATAAAACCTTTGACAGATGTAAAAATATTAACCGTCAGGAACACAGACGGCATGTTGGAAAGTACTTAAGGACCCAATTAAAGCAGCTAGAGATCACTTCATCCCATGCATTCATTATCGCAGCTTTAACCTGATAATAATCTAATGAGGCCGTGTCCTAGAACCTCACAAATCAATACAGCACACATGCTCTGTGCACACAAGGTGTAGCATTTCCCCACACAAACACTTCACTAGTGCAGCCTGCCATTTATTAATGACCTCCTAGAAATACTGGAAATTTATTTTTAGCAGCATTATTCAATTACTAGTGGACAAACCTCTCACTCTTATTTTGAAAGTGCAGACACCTGAAGAGACATAGCTCACTGACCAGATGACTGTTGGAAGTGATGGATATCATTGAGCTGCTTCCTGAGTAAAGTGCCAACAATGCAGATTCTCCTCAACTTTACATTAGAAAAAATATATTTAAACCCTGCTACAAAACACTTTTACCCCCTATGGACAGTCCCCTTCATAACAACTATATGATGGGGGAACTTAGGTGGAGTTACCACCTAGACTGACAGGTGTCCTGACACATGGAGCTGAAGCTGATCTGCATCTGTGAACATCCTGTGGATTTCAGCTGGTTCTCGTGTTTTAAGTATCCTGGAAAATATTTACAGATGACTTCTGCAAACAGAATCTGGGAGAAACACTGCAGCGCTGTTACAGTTACGTTACCTGCAAAGGCCTTGGCCTCGTCCGTGGGCACCGCTCTCAGGTGGCGAAGATCGCTCTTGTTACCCACTAGCATGATAACTATGTTACTGTCTGCGTGGTCCTGCAGCTCCTTCAGCCAGCGCTCTGCGTTTTCGTACGTCAGGTGCTTGGCAATGTCATAAACCAACAGAGCTCCGACGGCTCCACGGTAGTACCTGGACAACGTGAGACCAGACAAACAAGTTAGAAACTCAGGACGCGACTCGCTGTCGCAGCAGCCTGTAGCTATCAGGATTCACTGTGTGTGTCACACTGACTCAGCCAGCTCTGAACAAAGAAATAAGCTGTGAAGCTACAGCGACTGCACACAAAGCCCATAATGCAAATGAGCACTGACTTCTTGTTTTAAAAGACTCAGTGCGCTCGATTCCTCACAGCCTGTGGGGTCTTCACAAAGTTCATGCTGGTAAAGAGCGCAGCATCAAGGAAGATAACTTTAAAAAAACCCCACTAGGAACAGAGATGACGAGCTACAGGCTTCCTGTCTGAAGGCAAACAAAGGTGCATTTTGGAGTTTTAATTACTTCTGATAATCACTTTCTAGCCATTTTAAAATTGAGAAACGGACTAAACAGAATTCATGGATGGCCCTGATAACGCACTCGTAATGCAGTCCAGTGTCATGCAGCTGTAGATGATGGTTTCGAGAAAAAAAGTTCAGTCACAAGTTAAAACTTTTAACGTTTGTATTCTAGAGCCCAGCCCTGCATTTCTAATGAGGCAAGAAACACTCTTGTCACCATCTCTTTACGAATGTTCAGGATTTTGAGAATGTTATTTAAAAAAAAGAAAAAAGTGGGGCACTAAAGTTAAACCTACTTACTCACCACTTTACTTTATATATTTGGGTTCAATGTCCTGCCATGGGCTCAACCGCTGCTATATTCTTATTTAAAAGGCTATTCCTGATCTGCTCCCGTCTCTCTTACTCTCCTACAGCCATCAAAGTATGAGAAGTTGTGATCTTTGGTCCCAAGAATTATTCACTCTGTCTTTACAGACTTTGAGCTCTGTAGCTTGTAATTTAGAGAAAAAAAAAACCTGGAAGTAGCAGTAAAATTAAATAAATCTTAGGGAACTACTACAGATTCGGTGCATCACGCTTTCTTGTGCACATGCATTTGCGTGTGCACTCATGTGTATAATCACTTTGTCTGACTTTGTGCGTCTAGGACACACCCTGCATCAAACCCAAAATATTAAGGCACACCTGTAGTAACATCTGCCCAAAATAGCCTTCACATCACCTGACATGCTCTCAGATTATCATAACACAAAAGCACTTTTTAAAGCCTAGTTGCAGCATCTGGACAAAGCATGAACATGCGATTGTTTCTGGACTGCTGCAGTTATTCAGCGAGGTTTTCCACACTCCTGTACCGCGCACCTCGTCTCTGTCGCCTTCTCAGATACTTCAAATCTCCTAAATGGTTTTCTGCTTCTGATTCAGATCCAACGCTCTTAAATTAGACAAGTTTCCCTCAGAAGAGCCGCTTTGTTTCCCAGTGCCTATTTAGGTTCCTACTATTCAGCAACTGGTAAGCAGAAATCATTGTTCAAGGGTATAAGATTCTGCCTCTGTATGGGAAACAAGTGCATACACAGTACCAATAAAATAAATCAACCCTTCAGTTGTAATGTTTTGTGCAGTTGTTTATTGCAATAATAAACTGCAGGTGTCACAGCACATTTAGACTCGTCTCAGGACACACCCTTTGGGAGACACTGGTCTAAGTAACCACTTGATTAGACAGAGACACTTGCTGTGAAGAGATCATGTTTTCCTAGTTAAAAGGAAGGAAACATTTAAAAAAGCCCTTTTTCTTTCCTGTGCCACTTAATTCTATATGATTCTTCTAACTGACGCATGTGGACCTGTGTGTGTACAGGTAAAAAGAAAAAGGTTTTTACTTGTGTGAAGTGTGCATCTCTGCATGCGTGTGTGATGAACTCACGCTGAAGTGATAGCCCGGTATCGCTCCTGTCCAGCTGTGTCCCAAATCTGAGCCTTTACGGTCTTTCCCTCTACTTGGATGCTACGTGTGGCAAACTCCACACCAATGGTGCTCTTGCTCTCCAGGTTGAACTCATTTCGGGTGAAGCGGGACAGCAGGTTACTCTTCCCTACGCCCGAATCTCCAATCAGCACCACTGCAGGGAAATAAAGAACAAGAGGAACAGTCAGCAGAGTCACAACGTGTACTGTTAAGTCTGCCTGCAGGGGGTTGTTTGTGCTCGTCTTAATGCTACAGTAAAAAAATGCATAAGGAAAATAAACTACACTACTCTATAATTGGATATTAGGTGGGCGTGTTTTAGCACCACAGCTCACTTTACAGCTGCAGCTGGAAAAGCAAAAGTTCAGAAGGCCAACAGTCCATTATGCCATAAAGACGTTAAACTGAACAAGATGGAGTGATTCTTTTTCATTTCTTAATTACATTTGATCCTCATTTCTGTTAGATGGCCTTCCTCGCCAGTGACGCACATGTGTGGCTCCCAGGCAAAGCACAGCAGAAACTCAGGGGACTCCCACTGAGTACACAAAATATCAGAACCACCTGCTCTTTTCAGGAAATACACACAGGCTGAGCACAGAAATCCAGGTGAAACCGCTGACGTGCACTCATCAAATACACGTCAGGCACAGCAGCATTAGACTGAAGGGCAGAAGAACACTTTTAAACATACAGAGCTGAAACATGCGTTACAGCACACATGTGTAGCATTCACTGCATCAGTAAGCTGTCCCGATCGTCTTTAATAGTATTACTGCAAAGTAAACGTTTAGACATAAGAGATGTAGAACAAATTTTGGTGGCTGGTGCATCCTAAATAGATGAACAAGAAGATGAGTACATAACAACAGAAGTTAAACTGACAATTACAACACATAACAAAAGCAAAGAAATGAGCCACTTAAGACAAGAAAGTAGGTTTTCTGTCCTTTACCTTCCCCTCTGTGTCTCTGAGCCTTGAAGACGGTGCAATAATATCCCAAATAAACTAATGGACACAGCGTGAACACTACAAAACCCAAACATTGACAAATCAAATCTGTGCCAAACAATCAGAATGAAAACGTGAAGAAAGAGACCTCTTCACTGAGCCACTACAAAACTTATGACTGAAAATACGAAAATCTTCATACTAATATACAAGATAAGATCAGAGTCAAAGGAAACATTTACGATATATGATTTGATGTTTCAATTTCATGTCTCTGTTTCTTTTTAAAGGTAAAGTGTATTTTTGGCGAATGGCTTCTTGAGGCCCACCTGCAGTACCTTCACTGCCCGTACGTTGGGAATCGCTGCTCAAGTCAAACATTATAAACTACACTTAAAGCAAAACTGTCAACAGTTGAACCTAAAGAGTTAAATCTTAAAGTCAGCTGAACACCTTTCCAACATTCATTCATCTCCTCTTGTCTTTTTCAAGGTGAAGCTGAAAGTGAAGCTTTCCTCCGTGTCTGTGCTGTAGAGGTGAAAGCAGAGACTGGAGCGCTTGCAGATGATCTATCAGAATTTCCCACAGTGGTCCTTTCTCACATGCCGCACACATCAGTAGACAGTAGGGTGTGCAGAAGGCACCACACATGATGCTGACTTGCTATATGATAACTGCACCACAGTATCTGCGCTACTACTCGCACATCTGAGACTTTGTACTAGCTGGCAGGTTATAGAGTGGTTAATGTCAGATCTAGCACATTCTTATGCATCGGTCTCTGGTGATATCTAGAAAAGTTCAGAAGTGGTGCAGTGCAGGTGTGAAAACTGCTTTTAATTTCAATGTCTCGTTGGAGAAAATTAGGAACTGAAAACAAGCGAGTCTCAGGCAGAGTCTTAATGATGTGTTTACACCAAACAAGAACACGAACTGAGGCAAACCAACAAAAGTTAAAAAAAAATGCTTCATGCTGCACAGGAAAGACAAAAAAATTGTTAAAATTGTAGCAGATGTTGGTGAAAAGTGAAAGTCTACTGTAACTCCACTCCAGCTACTGGCAGTACTCTCCTCCTCCTCTTGTTGGCTGTTACGGGTAAATATTTGATCGTCTCCAAAAACCCTCCAGTGACTGTACTTGTGTGAATAACACAAGGCTTCATGTTTGGTGTGAACACACCATTCGGGACACCCTCTCTGTGACATCATGAAGATTGAAGAGTGTTAAAAACAAAAAAAACCTGAGAAACTGAGCGTTTTGAAGCCCGAGTCTTTGGCTCACAAGGATTACTGACTTACAGTTTTCAGACACGTGACAGAAAATAAAGAAAAGCATATTAGATCAACTTTCCCACTAAACAGGGTTTCATTTATACTTAAAAGTGGAACCAGGCATTAACAGGATGTTTGTTTGTTTGTCACTTCCACATTTGTCAGGTGCGTCACTCTGTCAAAAGGAACCTGCCACCCCAGCTCGCCACTCCTACTCTTAGGTAACAGGAACTTGTTTGGAAAGTTCAAACTGCAATAACCAATCAACCGCTGCATCTGCACTTGCATTTAAGCGATGCTCTTCTTTCAGAAATGAAACCGTGTATTCAAGTTTTACCAGCACGTGACAGGCAGAAGTAGAAACAGCTCCATGTTTTCCTGCCTGAGTTAGATACTCGGGAATAATGACAATTTCGGAAGTACACAAGGACTATGCATCAGAACAGTGCGGGCATCCAAATAAAAATTTTTTTAAAAAAAGATGACGGTGTTACTCCATTTTGTCTTGCACAAAGGATCTTGGGCGGAGGACAAGAAATCATTATGCAACCTTTTCAAGGCCTCTCTCTGCCAACAGACAGGTAATTCCATGGCTGCGTTACACACCCATTCACTCACCTATTGTTGAGCTCAAATTCCTCCAAAAAAAGATATGACAGCCGTCTATTATACTGTACAACCCTGCACCCAGTACATGTGGGAGTGAAGAACGAAGCTAAAATAATACTGAGAACCCGAGTCTGTCTGTTCAGAGACATTAGTGAATGTAATGATATCCCCTCGAGCGCCAATACACAGAATAAAATGACTATTATTAGGATTGCCAGGCTTGTTCTTGCCATAAAATGATAGTATTAAAAATACTTTAAAATACTTCTTTATTTCTTTTTTGTTGTTGTTGTGTTTTTTTTAAACAGAAGTTAATTTATTGTTTTTAAATGCCTGGAAATATGAAAGAAAGGCCTACATTTATGATAACAGACCCCAAACTTAACCTTACATAAGTGAACTAGTCCTGCTTAGATTATCATACACGAAGTTAATGTAGTGTTTAATGCTGAAGGCCAGCAGGATAATTGCTTTTTTCATCAGTATTTTTAAGAAATCAGTGGATGAGATAAGAAAAAGAGAGAATACATATGAAACGTGAACATGAGGTGAAGATGTGAAGTAGCACGAGGTGCAAAGAAAACCCCAGAATTCAGACTCATACGTGTCAAAATGTCTGTGAAAGGATGAGGTGCAGCAGGACAGCAGGACGACTTCCTGTGCCGATGTCTCCGTCAGTATGACAATGCTCATGTGACTCACTGCGAGCTCACCCAACCTGACTCACGCTGTCCAGCAGCAAGGTGCAACAGGAGCTTGTAAGGGGAAGAAGAAAAGAAAGCAGTGCAGTAAAAACCCTTCCCTGGTTTAAGTGGCGGCTGATAAACTTATCTGTGTTCCCACACTGCTGCTCATTATTCAGATAAATTTGGTCACCAAAAACCACGGCTGCTCTATCTGAGGAGGGTGAGTGAGCCCGCAAGTCTTTGCTTCCTCGTCCTTGACGAGGAGTTTCTCCGAGGCCCACTCGTGCAGGTATTTCCAGTTCGACAACACGTGCATGGTTGGTCTTCTATATTTAAATAGTGCGTCGTTTATCACGGGCGATGATAAGACAACTTTAAACAATTGGTTCCAGTTACAATGCATTTGGCACTTTGGTGACACGATCTACGAAAGTGTATAAGCTTACAGTTTTGTAAGCTGCGAGTACTTTTCACTCTTCACGCCTTTTAACAGCTCTGCTGGCATTTAAAGCAAGAAATCAAATCTAAAAATGTGACATTTTGCTTTGTATGATGTGCCAGCAAACACGAACGTTTGTCCCATCCTCAAGTATCAATGTTTGTATTGATTTCTTTGTTACGGCCTTGGTGCCTTTCAGGCAGACAACTTCTAAGGTTATTTAATTTTAAGAAATATATGTTTAAAATCCTATGAACAGCAGCATAAGCACACATGCAGGAAGTGAAGGCCATGCCAATAAAACAGGGGTCATATTTCCTCCTCTTCCTAGAGGTTGGCGGACATTTTGTGCCAATATATACACATATATATGAAAATAAGGATGTGTTGTTAATCTGTTTTTAATCAAGTCTGTCAGACATCTGCAGAGCAGTGACATACACTTTAAATATTATCTGTACACCTGCAGGAAATACAGGATCAGCATTTCCTGCTCATCCTTGGTGGGGTGGGTAGACATTTTGTTCCAATATACAAAACTAAATTGTACTCTTTGAAAATGAAACTGTCTTGTCTGTCTCAGTCATGTCCTCTGTGCCTAATTAAGGCTTTTAGAAGTCGGACAGAGCAAAACAAATACAACAAATGAAGCAAAGACTTGTAATTTCAAGGTATCCAGGGAGGAACCAGAGCATATTAGCAACTTTTAGTGATCACAGAAAGGGTGTGATTGTCACAGAAAGCGGTTTGGTGAGATTTTCCGAAACTTTGTGTACATTCAGACTCAAGTATTCAGCCCTGACTCTAAGAGACCTCCGAGCCTCATCGTACGATCCCCCTGTTGACCAACGCCGCATCCCAAGACGATTGCATCATAGGCCTGCAAGATGATGACTCCCCGGCAGATGCTGCTTAACGCCATACATGAGAGCTCTGAGCTGCCTCCCATTCTTCCAATACCACGGCTACGAGTGAGGCTATAAGCCCACTTCATAACTTGGGTTATAACTAAAAGCACTCGAAGTTACAGGTCGATTCAGGCGCCGTCGAGTCGACGTGTGGCTTGCGTCTCCTTTCACCTTGTTGTTAGGCACGCCGCTCGGCATCAAATGACAGCCGCTCACAGGTGACGCGAAAACAGAGCCAGGAGGCTACAGGTTAGCGGCCGCTTACCTTTGAAGAGGTAGTCATATTCGTCTTCTCTGTTGGTCATAGTGTCTCCTCTGCTGTTTTACTCGAAGTCGAACAAACTTCTGGCGTATTCACTTTTACTTCGACAGCGACCCAGCACCCGCTCACGACTCCGACCAGCGATTAGTTGTCACTCCGACGACAGCGAGGCTCGATTCGTGTCACACATGAATAACTGCGAGCACAACTCCGAGCTCGGAAAGTTTCGCCTCCTCTTCCTCACTCTCTGTCACTTGCCATAACCGAAGCTGTGACGTCACGTCGAGTCAGCAGTCCCGCCTCCCGCTCGCTCCCAATGGTCAATAGCTGCTCGACACCTGTCACGGCCGTTGATGTGATTGGTCCGCTGCGCTGTCGTTCACGATTTAGTTGCCGGTCGTTAACTGGGATGACGTCTGCAGCCCCAAGCCTCAACAGGTAATACCGAGCCCCAGACAAAGGTAACTTTTAAGCAGGCACTGACAGTTGAAGTTTTAGCCTGCAAAAATAACCTTTCCCCCATAGGTATTTAAAATGTTAGTTTAAATAACCAAATCCAGTTCAGTTAAATCCTGTTTTATTTACATCAGCATCTGTCTTCTCAAGATGCCTGTATATTGTAAGGTTAAAATGCTATGATACTACAGAAAGAGTTCTAACAGTCATATAATCCCCTATGAGCATTCACCTGGCAATGGTGGGAAGAAAGAAGTCCCTTTTAACAGGAAGAGACCTCCAGCAGAACCAGGCTGAGGGAGGGGCAGCTATCTGGGTTGGTTGATGAGTGAGAAGAAATGAAGGGGGAGCATGGAGAAAGGTTATTACAGTTCACTAAAACACCTGCAACATACACCATGGCATTATGAAATCTTAAGCCTCTATTCCACTTGACTCTGCTTGATTTCAATCGTTTTCCCATTACATTTTAGTACCAACTCAATCTGTGTGGGGTCATTTGTATGTGACAAAAACACAACAATGTAGGATGTGGAGGTGATGCTCAGTCTATGGATTTTTTATTGGTTTTTGTGCAACCATTTCTCTTGTTTGTAGGGTCAAAAATGATGGTTTGGACTTGTGTGAAAGAGTCGGTCTCATGACTCATTCAACAACGACACTGACTGGCCTATCGGAGGCGTGCAGTCTGTAGACGTAACATTTTCGGACTCAGGTTGCTTGGAACCCAAGCCAAGTAGGTGCTAAAAGTCCGTGGTACCAGGTACTAACTCTTAATAAAAAAAAATTTATATATGGAAGATAATCAAGCCTCATGTTTCAGAGATCCAGTCAGGTACGGCCTTTTGGTTGCAAATATTGCAATTTGTTCTCTGTATAAGTTAGTTGAAAGCTTTACTTGTTAAATACAAATCTACAGATACCTTATATGGTATCATTATTGATAAAACTACAGAAAAGTAACTAAAATAATCTCCAGCTGCAATATTAACATGATATGCTGCATACATTAATCAGTACTTGTGATTAAGTACTATATATCATTCTGCATAATGAAAATTTTTACTGTATGTACGGAGTTTTTGATGCTAAAATGTTCACACAATTAGGCTATTCAAGTAGAATCATGACTTTTCTACTTATTCTCAAGTTTTTATGGTCTTTAAAAATACGTTATTTTGCTACTTTGAAAAATGGTTATTCAATAGACAAAAATATTTTTAACTCTCTTTTTTCATGTAATTCTTTATATATTATGCATGCATGGGGTGCTGCATGGGGTGGGAGACGTTGGACAACGTCTCCCACCCCATGCAGCAGACTGTGACAGCACTGAGCAGCTCCTTCAGTGGGAGAATGCGGCACCCACGGTGTGGGACGGAGAGATTTCGCAGGTCTTTCCTCCCCACTGCTGTCAGACTCCATAATAAAAACTTTAACTGATCAAACATACACATCCATACATATGCAATAATACTAAGTGCAATAATCCTTTCTGTCATCGTTGTATTTTTACTCAGTTGCATATAGCATTTGTATTTGTATTCTATTTTTATCTTATTGTATATTTATTTTATTTTATTCTACTGTATATAGTATTTTATTTTATTTTATTCTACTGTATATAGTATTTTATTTATTCTATTCTGTACAGTTGTGTACTCTATTTATTCTTATTGTATCCTAATTTTTGCCTCATAACTTTTGCACTGTCCACTTCCTGCTGTGACAAAACAAATTTCCCACGTGTGGGACTAATAAAGGTTATCTTATCTTATCTTATCTTATTAGGGTATGGGGCTACTCATAAGACTGAAAGTCACATTTTAAATCTATTTCTACTCAAATATCCTGATTTTATGATGGCCCGTCAAACCCCTAATCTAACAAAGCTCAATCCACTTGCATAAGATATAAAGATTTGCTCCACATTTATTTTCTGTATAAACTTCAGTGCCAAAAGAGACTTGATAATAATAAACAGACCACATAGCCTAAGCACATTAACCACCAGTTAAAGAATGAAACACTCAGATTGAGAAAGCTTATGAAATTCCGCAGTGTACTAATCAACAATATGTTCAGATAAGATTTCACTGCATTGTTTTTTATTCATACTGTTTCAACAATGTGGTCAGAGACATGAATCCACACATTAACAGCACAGATCAGCTGATACTCAGTGGTTGATAAAGAGTCATTGCTGGTTCAGCTCATTGTTTATCAGGCAATCCCCTACCTTCCCATACAACAGCTGATCTGGAAAGAAATCACCTTTTAATCTCCATGCATCATCATCTGACCATCATTGATTGGGCCAGTTAATTATCTGCACCCAGTGAGAGGAAAGACGATGTCACGGTTGAAAAGGTTGCCCTGACCTGCTCTGCTAGACGGACGTGCTGCTGTGCATCTAAAATTCATTTGAGTTTTTCCCCCAGAACTTTTTCCACGTGTTAGTGTCTTCAAATGTGTTGAAGTTTCTGAAATTTTCAGACCTCATTACAGATTTCCTCAGAGGTTATGACCCTTGGTGCGGCTAAGCATTTCATGTGGAGCAATGAGCAAGTCCGAGTCGGACACAGACTTCAGCCAAATGTTTTAATACTCTAGCTCACAGAGTTTCCAAGAGAGCTGAGCTCACTACAAGGAATGATCTCACTTTACTGGAGTGTGCTTCTGTGATTTAAAAACTACTGTTTTATTGGGAAATTATAAATGTTACTAATGCTTTTGCAAGTGGCAACCTTTAGATCCAATGACTGCAGTTCCTCTGTGTTCAAAAGCAGGTCAGCCCCCACAGTCTCATCAGTTATTCCTGTTAAACAGCATTAAAAATCTTGTTGACAGAGCGGTACAAGAAGGAGTCAGGGTCTCTGTGGATACTTTGCACCTTAAAATGCAAGGTCCACAACTAGTGGGTGACATCACAGTGGCTCCATTCATCTTATTTTTATTTTTATTTTATTTCTTCTTCTTTTTTTTTACAATGATAAATAAAAAGTAAGTGTTTAAATCCTCTGGCTGGCCTTTCTGTTCTGAGGTTCTGTCCAGGTAGTCCAGCTTTCTCCCACAGCCCAAAGACATGCCTATTCTGTAAACTGATGATGGTAAAGTGACTGTAGGTGTTAATGGTGTCTGCCTCTGTGCTACTCCTGTAATAGACTTGTGACCTGTCCAGGATGTACCCTGACTCATGCCTGGTTGGAATAAGCTCCATCGCCCTGGCAAAGCTGAATTGGATAGTCACAATATAGTCTGAAGACGTTAAGGAAAACCACAGATGTCACAAACATTTACAAAAAATTGATGTGGCTCAGCATTTAAACAGTGAAGTCAATGTGGAGGGTCCTTAAACCTGCATTCTGTCTAATGGCCAGCAGGAGGCAACTCCTCTGGTTAGAAAACCTTTATAAGAAAATAGTCCTGCTGCTCACTTGGGTTATTAGTTCAACCTTAAACATTTCTGTGATGCTTTTATGGTCTCAGTCTCGAGCTGAAGTTGAAATTAAACTGAAAACAATGTAAATGTGCTTTCTGTAAATTATTGTCATTTGCTGATTTACATATACGGTAAAGCCCTCAGAGCTGCTCACTCATTGTTTCCAGAGCTTAGAGCTTCAGTGGACACATTTTTAGGTGCACCTTGTGAGTATTAGCTTGGACTGCCTCGGTGCGGCAGAGATTCATCAAGGTACTGCAAACATTTCTCAGATTTTGATCCATATTGACATGATAACATCAAACGGTGCAGATTTGTCAGCTCCACATCAGTGATGTGAATCTCCCATTCCTCTGTGGAGGGATTTGGGTACAGTGAATTCCTTTAGTGTTCACGTAACCAGTTTGAGATGGTTTGAGCTGTGTGTCATGGCAGGTTATCTTGCTGGAAGCAGACATCAGAAGATGGGTGCACAAAACCCACAAAGGGACAGACACAAAAATACACAGTGGGTAATTTGTCTCCATTTATTTCTTAACAGATATGTAATCAGTCTCATCATAGATGACCAGCTGGAGCACACGCTCAGCAGTGACAGCAACACTCACAATGAATACAAACATTTCCACCAATCAAGCTGCTGATTATAAGAAAAAACATTGAAACATGTGTCCTCATATTTTAGACATCATACACACTATGATGTGTTTTCAATTCCCCGAATGGATTATAAATAATCTGACAGGTAACACAGTTTAGTTTCACCTTTGACCTTTGTTCAGTAGTGAAGAAGTAACTGAAAAGACTGCTGGTGGTTTCCAGCTCCATCTGTTCACATTTTCAACTGTTGTTTTAATGCATCTTACCACCATGCCGGCTCTACCACTCTTAAATCAGTCAATTCAAAGTTGCAGCATTCAAGCCAGAACCATTTATACTGGTGCCTGAGGTTGCCTCCAACAAATTCCAGCTTGGGGCAAAAGGAGGAATCCCTCACCGTGAGGCCCGAGTCCTGAAGGATGGTGGGGTCAGATGTTCTTGCAGCAGGACTTCTTCTCTGTGTCTTCTGCTTTAGGGCTGTTCAGGGTAACTGCACTCATGGGGCCTCGGACCACTTCCTTACTGCTTACCTTCTTGTGAATCTCTAATGGCATGAAATTGATATATATGATGGCGCAGAAAGAATGAAAAAGTAGAAAAGTGGTTAACAAAATAAAACACAGTAATACCATGGTTCTGGGCCGCACAAAAGTATAGAAGGCTATGATTAGAAATTTACTAATAACTGGCACGTCCACCATGATTTTCTATGCTATGTAATAATCAGCACTCAAACCTTTCAAAAATGTGGCTCCACCACTGTGCTTGACAGTTGGTCGGAGGTGTTTGTGCTCATATATTGAGTTTGATTTAGGTCGTCTGTCCAAAGCACATTGATCCAGAAAATGTGTGGTTTGTCCAGATGCAAGAGAAGAGGCTTTCTTTTGATTACTATTCCAAACAAGACACACTTATTCACTCTTGTTCTAATTGTACTGTCATGAACTTTAACCTTTAACATGCGGCCTGTAGAGTCTTAGAGGTAGCTTTTGGTCCTTTGTGGTTTCTCTTAGCAGTGCATGATCTGATCTTGGGGTGAATTTGATGAGACCTATCCTCCTGGGATATCTGGTAACTGCCTTGAATTATTTCCACTGCACAATGATGGACTCTAAATTGTTTGTAAACGGGTTCATAGCCCTTCTCAGGAGTTGCTTCTCCAAAATGTCTTTCCTCCATGGCAGCTGAATGCTCCAGGCCTGCAAGCCTTTTATACAGGTGCTCACACTCGCCGATGATCAGCTGATAGCTGACAGCTGAAGTGCATTTGAGTAGCAACAACCTCTTAGTACGGGTTAAGTTTTGTCAGTTCTGCTTATATTTACACTTTTGTCGTGTAATGCTATCATTGTTCTTCACTGGCTTTTGTTTACTGTGTCTTTTTTCTTCTAATTGGGATCATTTTCATCCTTTTTTATTGTATATTTAATGTATTCTTTTAGATTATTTAATCCCTTACCTTCCTGCTTTTCTTTTTCTTTTTCTAATTTTTATTGTTTAGGTTTGTCTTCTGTAAAACATTTGCCTGTGAAAAGCATGATATAAATAGATATCACTGGATTTCCTGCTGTTTCTGGAACATATTCTATATTGGAAAGAGGAACTGAGCACAGGAGTGGAAAAATTGGTAAGAGTAAGGGTAACAGATGCATAATTTATAGTAAATATTCACAAAATGTAGGAAAAGGAAAGGCAAGGAGAAATGATATTCATTTATATCAGCAATATAAAAACACATAAAGCATGTGTAAACATAAATAAATATATATATTACCTGCTAAGACAGTGGTAAATGCTGCTTCTACATTTGTAGAATCCAAGGCTGAGGTTTCCAGGAAGAAAAGGCCTTTCTTCTCTGTATTAATAATGATACAAACATTCATGATTAAATTCACATCTGTGCTTATTTTATTTTTCACTTTTATCAAATTGTGTCTCTAGTTTTAACATTGGGGTGTTTGAAATGCGCTCTGTAATAACATTGCATACTCTAGCTTTAATCAAATAATAGGAAATTAGAGCCACAAAGAATGATTGAACAGGAATTTGACTTGATTTCATAGACACAGTAATAGTCTCCATAATTATCAGAAATTAAATTCTGCTGCAGTCCTGGATGTGAATAAAGCAAGCACAAAAGTGAAAACATAATCATTTTTCACAAAAGTTGATAACATTTCAAAAACATCAAAGATGTTTTGCTTTGGAAATGAAATGCAGGCGCAACATTTTTGAGTAACATTTCTTAGTCTTTATAATTCTCTGACATACGTCTTGGGGTTTGAAGCTGCATTTGAACATCATTATATGTTGGAAACGTAGAATTTCACTCTGTATCAACATGTTCTTCTTTAAAATCTCAATCTCCTCTTCTTGCAAAAATCATATTTTTGCTTTTAGTTGTTGCTAAAAACAGGAAACGTGCAGCTGACAGGTTCTGTGAAATCACAGAGATCCTTTCTGTACCTTTTCTCTCAAGTGAAATGTTGTTTTCAGTTTTGTTGGGGCAACACAAAAAATTCCCATTAACGGTAAATAGAACAGAACACATGCACTAATTTCTAGGTTTAGCACTTGTTGACTTTGTACCTGCAAAGTCTTTGGCCTCCTCATTAGGCACTGATCTCTCTGACTCCAGGTCAGTCTTGTTGCCTACCAGCATTACCACAATGTGGGGGTCAGCATGTTCATAAAGCTCCTTTAGCCAGCGCTCCACATTCTCGTAGGTGAGGTGTTTGGTGATGTCATAGACCAGCAGGGCTCCAACAGCACCTCTGTAATACCTGTTAGGATGAGGCAGCCTTTACAGTTGCACACAGAAATCTTTACGCTTGAACTAAGCAGCTAAATGACAGCGATAATTATGAAGTGATTTAAAAAAAAATCTGATTAAAAATCATCAGAGTGACATCGTGTTCATAAGGAGGGAGTAGATGGACATATGTACTCAAGTGCTTATGGTATTAGCTTCAGCTGTCGCCAGTATGGAAGCATAATAGGCAGCTCCTGCCGCCGTCCATTGAAAAAAATTAATTAATGACTTCTGATTGCTCTGAAGTTACGAACCAGTCAATACTTCCCCGACAATCACAATTCTGCTCTCCTCTTCCAGCAGCATAATTAATTCCACTTTAATAGGTTTTAGCTGCTTGTTACAGCACAAATGGGAAATTCCATGGGAGTGAGAATTTGCATACTGGAATAAGTTGGCAAGTAATTACTCAAAAAGCCACGCTGTCAGAAAAGAGCTAATCCAGTGGTGTAGCATATCCTCAGATTTCCCCGTGTCTTAAAAATAAAACGGACATGGTTCTATTGTTTTAAAACCCGTTTCCACACTCTTAATCCTTCTAGTTTAATTAGGGAAGAAAAAAAAATACTGAATCAGTTGGAAGAGAGAAGCACTGAGTGTTCAAAGGAACATCACTGTCCTAACAAGTGGATTTTAAATGTGCCAGTTGGAAAGAAAATGGAGACAAGAATGTGCTTGTGGTTTTTCAGGTAATGCGGGAGGTAACCGAGGATCAGCACCTGTCCTCATGGCTGTTTTGGCTGATAACAGCACCGCCTTAAGATGTCGACATACAGGTTTGCTCAACAACTAAGCAGCAGGAAAACAGGCATGTGGACTGCAAAAGCATTGTGCGTGTCGGTTTGCAGGTGTGCATAAAAGTCACACATTTTTAAGATGCATTCTTAATGAAGAACACATATTAGTGACAAAAGAAGATTGCAATGTGAACCATTATTTTATACCCACCAGTTTAGATGAATAAACTTTATTTAAGACATAAGAGTTGCACATACTGATTGTTGATTTTAACAAACAGTGATTCCAGCAGAGTTTTCTGCATGTGTTAGCCTTCAGATAGAATGGCAACCTGCCCTGACCTATGAAAACTGGAGTCTCTAGTTCCCCCTATCCCATATGGACTGATACAATGACCTAGATAAAATAGGGTCATGCAAGATGACATGACTGTAGGTTACAGCCTCCTAATGTGGACTTTGTAGGTCTATAAAATGGGACTGTTGTATGACATCACTGATGTTGACAGACACCTTGTGCATAATGGTGAGACTGGGGTGACAGCTGACAAGAAGGCATTGTGTGACATCCTGGAAAAAGAATGTAATGATTTTTCTCTGGACTGTAGCGCTATTCATTAGTGAATTTAGCTGTTTCAGCCCAACTACGCTGGCCAAGTGGGAAGCAAACTGTCAATACAGATCATCTGAGGGAGTTGCCTTTGTGTCCTGTTAAGCACAGGACTTTTGTCACGCCTGCTCCTGCACAAGGACACAGTTGGTATGCGTAGTTGAGTAGAAAGAAAGTAGTTCCTACAGGAACCTGATCAAAATGACGTAAAGCAAACATGAAGCCAGGGGGTCGGAGTTGGCCTGGCACAGACTTCAATCCGGCACACTGGATGTTCATAAGTTGTGCAGATTTTCCTACTGATAAAGACTTCCCCTGTAGCCATTTAGGCTATGCCAAAGTAATTAAATATTAGAGAAACAATTAAAGAAAGTGCTTTTCACTATCTACTATAGAAATTTGTGATTTTTTTTTTACAACTCAACAGTTTAAAAAAGGACATTTTCTGTCAATTAACAAATAACAGAACATAACTTGTTCACAGTGAAGTTTTACTAACACGACATCTGCAGACTGGTTCTTGTTGACGTTGTATTTTGATAAGCAGGAATGAAAGTTCACATCCTGATTTGAACAATAACCCCTATTATGCATGTGCATTTTATAATGACATTATAATTACTGGGTAGTGAGCTACCATAACCTTGTGTAATTATTCTCATTTATTAGTGGGATATTAGTAGTATATACTCACGCAGATGTGATGGCCCGGTATCGCTCCAGCCCAGCAGTGTCCCAGATCTGAGCTTTGATGGTGAAGTTGTTGAGCTGCACTGTCCGTGTGCTGAACTCCACCCCGATGGTTGTGCGGCTGTCATGGTTAAATTCATTTTTGGTGAAGCGGGACAACAAATTGCTCTTTCCTACACCAGACTCTCCTATTAGAACCACTGCAGAGGACAGAGAGAAATTTTAATTAGACATTTCTTTTTTTGTTGAAAGCCTGCACTCAGCCATTGCAAAACTAACAAAGCCAATCCCCCGAGATCCACTTCATCCTTTACAACCATTTTTGTCTTATGCCTAGGTGTGTCTCCTGTAGTTGCTCCATAAATCCACAGTATTTGCTGTCTGACATTGGGCTAATTGCACAATCAGGAAATAACTTCATGGTGAAAGAGTTAATTATTTGAGCTAAAGCACGCAGAGGAAAGAATGCAGATAGAGGGCAAACAGAGTTAAACGCCTCTGCTTAGTTGTAGTTTGTGGGGTTTGAGTATATCTCAGTGTACACTGGATGAGAGGGTGGCTGTACAATCAGCTGCTTATTTGATTTATTAACAGCAGTAAATAAGTGTGACAGTTTATTTTTTCTTTCACAGTTTGGCTTTAGGCAGTGTTTTTATTTCTGAGTGAAGCTGTGCAGCACACAGATCCTAACCTTTTTCTGGGCTGTTCATTGTTCTTGGTGTGACTGATTAATATTTTTAAAATGTATTTTCTTTTAATGCGCTGCAGATTGTGTTTTTTTCTCCTTCATTTATAAATTCTGTGAAACACACGTTTCCCTCCTGGAAAACTGAAAGCCTTTGGGGTCTTTTTCTCTTTTCCACGAACAAGCCGTTGTTTTTGGAAATAAAACCATCTGCAAAGTTATTCCAAATCAGGTGGAACGAGTTCAACTGCTACTTCCTTTTTGCCAGAGCAACCTACCTACTGAGTAAACAGGAGAAGTAACACAGACACCCCCTGTGTACATGTCAGTGACTAATATTTGGGTTTCAGTTGTTAAGTAGCTGACTCAGAGAGAAAAAAGAGGCTTGGCTTAATTGACAAAGATAAAAAAGTATGACCACACAAAGAAAACAGAACAAATGAGACCAGTGAATAACTGGATAAGATGAAGTTACATGTAACTGCTGTAGATTCAGTGAGCCAAGGTGTTATGACATCTTCAAAGTCATCAATTATGACATACTGTTTTTGATATTTGTTAACCCCATCTTGTTCCTAATCTCAGCTTCAGCTCATTATTAACGAGGAAATACAAGCCTGATGTCTATACTTCCTGCCCGGATGTGGCTCTAAAAAATGTAGTTTTTCTGTATCTTTATCTGTATTTATCTTTATCTAGATTAGTGTAAAGAAATACTGAAGAGGCAAACAACTAGCCTGGCAATGTTGTCCCATAAAACTAAACCTACTCAGTGCATCAAATGTCATTTTGTAAAGAGTTTCTAAAGGTGTTTTAAGGGGTAAATCAGTGAAATTTTAGATGTGGTAGTGAATAGATTTTTTGGATAGAGTCAGCTGGCAAGCCATTTCTATCCATGCACATTATAAAGAAACATCAATGCAAGAAGTTATTCAGTGGTTTAGTGAAACTTTTAAGTTTGAGGTGAGCTGAAAACCCTACCAATGACAGAGATGGTTTACCTGGGCAACCAGAGCCCGGACCGACCGCTATAGTGACCAGCCGTCCACAACAAAGAAATGCGTGATGTCGGGGTGTACACATGTCCAAGAATAAGAGGATTCTACAAAAGTATTATTTATTTATTACATA